AAACTTGATGTCATCATAAAAAGAAAACAACATTCTTGAGTTTGTTACTCAACCATAATTATTCAAAATACACCAGGCATATTACAAGTGTGGAATAACCAACGTTACCTTTTCACCCCTTTGCAGAACAATCCATTCTTACACACACACACACCTGTTATTCAATCAAAACATTGGTTCTGACAAACTCAATTTCTCATTGCCTTAAAAAACTAAGTATGCACCTGAAAAATGCCTTTAGCGCTCAAATGTGTTTGAGCCTATTTTTCCTTTCAAGAACCTATAAAAGAAAGAAATTCGAACTAACTTACCAGTCAGAATTCCACGCTCAGAGAGATGCCAACCAATTTCACGCTAGTTTAAACTTTGACTTTCCCGCGCGAATTAACCTCAGACAACCATTTGGCATACTCAAACTCTCTTTTAAAAAAACTTCTACAAAATTAGTTTACTTTACTCGAGAAAGTAAAAATGTATATTTACTACATATTAGTAACAGTAAGAAACAAAACACTTAACAAGTAACAGTTAAAGGTACGCAACTTCATACAACTTAAGAATATTTTACATAACACTCGTATACGCACACTAACGTTTTGAACTGTAAAATCGAACACTTTTGTACGTTGAACAGCAAACTGTTTAATTCTTACAACAAATCATCAAAACACTGATTTAAGCATTCAAACATACTCAACAACAAACTACATGTCTTATTACATCAATATACAACAAATCACCAATTCATAACTCATTTGTATATATTTAAATTGTATATAAATTACAGCATTGTTGTGTATTTTACTTGTCTTTGTTTTTGACTCTGCTTTTCATGACTTGTTCTAAATATTCGTTTATTATTTGTTGTGGATGAATTTTAACAAACGCCACCTAAAAATTCCTTCTGATTTAACATTCACTAATCCCCACAATAAATTAGCTGTAGCTACGACACAAAGACAAATATTTAGCGTGTTATCCTTTATCAAAGTTCTTAAAGAATATATGAATCGATTTTGCAGCTTTTGTCGTTCGATGTGCAGATTTCAGAGAACCTTTTGCTTTTATTCGTCGAATTGTGTTAAATGGTGTATAAATAAATGTGTCCAAATTCATCTATGCTAGATTTCGCATGCTGGACGTTGTTTCAGATGTTTGCCTTCGTTTTTTCTTCTTGTATCCTTTGCACCACACTATCCAAGTATTTGGAATTTCTATCTATTCCTTGTTGTATCTTTAACCATCACCACTTTTGCCTTAAGGCAGTTATAAATATAAGAAGAATCTTCATGGTAATCAACTTGGCGAATATCGACAGGAATATTAATTGAATCAATATAAACTAAACGTTTATGCTGCTTCCTCTTCTCTGATATTTAAGTCTGATATCCCTATATATATATATATATATATATATATATACATACACACACACACACACACACACACATATATATATATATATATATATATATATATATATATATATATATATATATATATATATTAATATATATATAACGTAATTCCCTCTTTTCAGTACCCATGAAAATGAAATGAGTAACTTAAAACGATGTCCCTTGAAATTTTGACTCGTCGATCCTGCGCCTTGAGACCGTTGAGGCTCAACTTAACTTCCATAATCACAACGGTGAAAAATCGCTTCGGGGTTACATACGATATTTAAAGTAAAGAGAAGGAACCATTTATACTTGATCCGGCGTAATTTTTTTCTGAAGTAGAACAATCTTAAATGTTAACGTTATATATCTAAGGAAGTAAAATAGGCATTGAATAGCTTTATTCAATACCAATGCAAAAGTAAATAACAGTTAATTTATTACTCATTTTTTTAACTGATTCAGAATTTTAATTACTGTTTCCATTCCAAACCTTAGAATATAAAATGCTATAACAGCCGTAGAAGCTTTTGATGAACTTTCACGAAGAATACACCAAAAGCAATACATCTTAGATATCTCCAGAGCAAAATCTTAAGGAAAGGTACACATTCACTTCCTTCGATAAACACGTTTTCAGTTTCAAAGCCTGATTTTTTCATATGATTTACATATTTCTAAGGCGGCCTAATTTCATGGGCTGACATTTGTGCAAGGACGTACGGGTCGTTGGTTGTCACATTCATTGCTGTCTTCCCTGCTGAAACATATTAACTATCACCTGCATTCCTCTCTACTGTTTTGAAATTCTGAGCTGTTACCAATTACACCACGCACACACATAAATTGGAAAGTGGGCCCAAATAACTTAACACTTACAGTTTCATACGGGAGGCAAGATAAACAAGTAGAAAGAACAATTCACCTGCATGTTAAGGTTAGTAGCTGATAGAACAAGGATAAATAAGGATGATAAATGTTTCAGAATTAGCGAAGAAAGTGCGGAGAGCCATAAATAAGGGATTATGTAGAAGATATTCCGAAATTGTGCATATAATGGAGCAACAGAATATATCACATTTTTTCAATTCTTATTTAAAATATAAATTCAGAAATATTATTGATAATTCCGCATATTATTACAATCCTCAATTCTGCAATGCTATGTTAAGAAATTAGAAAAATGTGATATTAATGTCGCTTCAGGTGTTATGGAATAAAGTTCTCAGTGATGTTAATTCTGGGGAAAGAAATACTGGGTAAAATATATGACAAATTCGAAAAAGATTTCTTGTGATGCATTTCCTCTTTTAGGACTTCATCAGACTAAATTTGTTATATTGTTGCAACTACACATGCGCACAAATGAGGGATGCTGGGGCTTTTTTTATCTAGCCGATTTAATTTAGAATTTTCTTCTTTCTTTTCATCATTTTTGTTAGTAGTCATCCCATACTGGGATAATATAATTCTTGCCAGGAATGGTGAAATGTTGTAAGAGCCAGGTCGCGAATTATTACTGTAGATGATCTTTCAATCAAGGCATTGTCTAGATATTTTCATTGTAGTGTATTGTTTCTCTGATCAGAGTAGCATATTTTTATGTCAACATTATGATGAGACCCGTTACGATAAGTATGTGTAGTCGCATGTAGTTTAATCTGATTTAGTCTTAAAGGATGAAACTCGACAGAAGAAAACTTTTTTCCACTTTGTCATATATTTTCCCTAGATTATTCTCTCTCTCTCTCTCTCTCTCTATATATATATATATATATATATATATATATATATATATATATATATATATATATATATATGTACGCATACACGCAATCATTCACAATGTATATATATATATATATATATATATATATATATATATATATATATATATATATATATATCAGTCTTGAAAAGCGTGCAGACATTTTAAATGTTTTAGCATATCTCACATGTATGCATACACGCAATCACACACAACAGTTAAAGAAAAGAAAATTAAATAAATAAAAAAGACTGGGAATGAATCGACAACCGCGTAATATTTCAGACAAAGGTAATTGAAAGTACGTCTGCCTTAAATGCTACCCATTCTTTTAACGTGGGAGCAATATTAACAGAAGGCGGCAAAAGTCTTCATTGAGAACGGATCAATGATTTATGTCCTTCTGACCTGGGAACCTTGCTCTCCACCCTTGTAATGGTACTGCGTTTCAGCGGTTAAATGTCCCCTAATGAGAACCCCCGGTTCTTATTACAAAGCGCTAAATGCTTTCACTACACACAAAAAGAAGTTACATTGCTTCGCGCTGGAGTAAGGTTTTATCCTTAACTTGGGAAAACGATTCAGTGTGCGAGTGATTTATTGGACCCAGTGTCCGGTATGATGGACAGGTTTATTAGGGAAAGAGACGATGGATTTCTAGAGGCTGGAGTGTTACTTGCGTGCCATGTCGATAGAAGACGGCATGCTCAAGTGGATACGTTTGCGTTGAAAATGGTCAGATTGTGTCGGAAAGGAAGGAGCAAATTGAGAAAAGATGAAGGCACTCAATTATTTTGATTAGTTCTGAACACTACGAATGTCGAATTAACATGACGAAATTAGTCGTTTAAAAAAGAAAAAGAAAAAGAAAATGGGGAAATTGAAAAAAAACAACTGTTAGAACTGAGCAAGAGAAGGAAAGAAAGGAAAGAAAATAAAAGAAAAAAAAGAAACATGGAAGGAAAAAAAGAAAGGAAATACATAAAAAAAGTAAATGAAAAGAATGTATAACGAAAGAAAAAGAGAAAGATTAAAAAGAAAAAGAAAAAATGCAAAAAGAAAGAAAAAAGCAAAAGAAAAATATAAATAGATAAGAAAAGGAAAAAAAGAAATAAATAGAAAAACGTATAAAAAAGAGCAACAGAAGTAAAAGAAAAAAAAAAGGAAATAAGTCCAGAAAAAATGAATAAAGACGAAAAGCGAAAAATATAAAATGAATGAAAGAAAATTAATAAATGACTGTAAGAACGAGTTTGAGTGAAAGAGAAAAATGAGGATTAGGATAAGGATTTTTTTTAAAAAAAAAAAAGAAGAAGGAAACCATTTTAAACAATCCTGAATTAATAATTAAAGTAAGACACTAAAAACAGGAGACACGAAACAAATTCAGAAAATCAGAGAGTGAAATAGGAAAGAGTAAGAAAACAGTATATATTTACAAAACGATGAACAATGAAAAAGAAGACCTTAAGTAAGACGGAAACACAGATAAAGGAATTTAAATTGAAACAAATTTTAAAAATAAAATTGTAAAAAGAGGAAGATGATATAACGGACTGTAAAGTAACAGAAAATAAAAAATATAAAAGAAAGAACAGAAAAAGTAAATAGATATAACACATATCATTACGTCACGTAATGGTAGAAATATCAGACATATTTTTTTCTTAAAACGAGTGCAGTGTCGTTTCAATTCAGTAGTTTCGACACGGAAGCCCTAAACATTTTCAAACTAGTGGATAAATATGCCATCGGTTAGTTATACAAAATTCAATTTGATGCTTGTTATCGTTGTCAGTGAAGGCTTATTACCAGCACGATATCGAAGCCAAATGATACGTATAGTGTTATCTTCACTTGTAATGGCTTCACGTGAATCAATTTTATTAAAAACATATACGTATGAAATTATGGTCGAAATTTCATGTTTTGAGCACGGATGAAACGCGTCACAAAGACCTTTCCAGTTTGTCATGTTTTTCTAAATCTATAAATCAACCATTCGACTTTGCATGGGATATTGCTGTCATATCTGGTCAGGAGACCCCGTTGTTATTCTTATTGTCCTCGACAAAATTCAGAGACGGATATGTAATGTGATTGGCCATGATCTGGCATCTTGTTTACAGTTGCTCTCTCAGAATACGTGTCGTCGTTTCTCTGTGTCTTTTCTGCAAATACTTTGATGGTAACTTATCCGACGAGCTATTTTCGCTCGTTTCCAAACTGCGTGAATCTAAACGTGCCATTAGCTCGGCATCTCAGACCAACCCTTTCACTGTTGAAACGGTTAAAACATCCGTCTCTTCTACTCTAATAGCTTCATATCTCGCACTTCCCGTATGTGGAATTCCCTTAGTCATACATGATTCCTGACAGGTATAATCTCCAATTACTCAAATGCAATGTCAATCTCCTGATGCTTTGATCTGTTCCCGGTCTTTCTTTTCATCCTTTCCGCTTTCCCGCCTCTTAAATCTTACCCCCACTTTCTGTAAACCCTTGCTTGGGGTGAAAAGTTTAATAATAAATATATATATATATATATATATATATATATATATATCATCGACATCACAACAAGCAGAGCAGTACTGCCTCTAACACCCAAGAGGTCACAGGGTGAGGAGGAATTAGGAACAGAAATTTTAGTAAGGGGGGGAAGAGAAAATAGCAATTAGGAGGACAGTAGATAGTAGAAGTAAATTTTTGCAGATTAAAGTTGGTTAAAATGCATGAGACCGAGTGGGATTTCCACAAGCGAGAATCACGAGAAAACAAACTGTTAGCATAAAAGTTACGGCTACATCTAGCTAGCTCGACTATAAATTGATGAAATCTCGTCATCAGTATAGCATAACGCTTAAATTCATACAGTCTAGGTACCATTGCGAAGAGCACATTCGGACAATTACCATGAAAACATCAAAACAAAAGGCACAGAGAGGCAACCTTACGATCGTTGAGAAGGGACTGAAGCCGAGCGATCAGATCAGAACCAATAATGTTGCTGATTATACTATGAATCTTAACAAAGAAAATATCAGGTGTACTGGGCTATATATGGCAGCAATATTCTCAGCATAGTCTTAGACATATTGCTAGGCGAGATAGATTCCGGAGAGGAATAATGTTTCGCCGAACACAGTGAACCGATATTCTTAGCAGCTGATCTAGCGATGGCTTCAGTGTAGTCTTTCCACCTCATGTCAGCTGAGAACGTTAAACCGAGAAGGAGCAATGAGTCGCTTTTTTGAGGATAGCATCAGCCATGCTGATGGAAGGTAGAGAATGTCTTCTGAGATGATTAATGGAGAGAAGTTTAGGTTTTGAAACGTTAAAATTGACAAGTCATCTTTTGTCTCTGCTTGAGGTCTTGAGGTTGTTTTATACATAAGCCGCCACTTTGAGCTTATCTGACGGATCAATCTTACTAGCGAGGCTGGAGTAAATGATAGTGTCGTCAGTTTGTGGAGAAGGCCTGAATTCTAGAACCTCTATCGAGATGTCCAATGCTACAGCCGGGGCTTCACTATTTTTATATAAAGCATGATACTTTCTGCAATTATCGTTAGTTCATCAGCCATTGATCGGGAGAAACGAAAGCCACATAGCTTGTCAGAGAAAAGGTCTGTGATGAAAGATGTTGAACCATTGCAGCATTGATTAGGACCTCTAGGAGTTTCCCCGAAATAGGCAGAAGGCTAATAAGCCAATAAATGGAATGTTCGCCAGAGTTCTTAAAAACTGGAACAATAGACGATGATTTCCCGCGAGCCGGAAAGCAAGAAGCAGCGAGACATTTATTATGCAGTTTAGAGAGAACAGCAGCTAGTTCAGGACATATAAATATTACAGGGATGTCATCGGGTCCACATGCTTTGTGAGGATTAAGGTTAGAGATGATAACATAAACCATGGATTGGGTTATAAACATATAACTCAACTGAGAATCACTTCTGTGGGAACATAGGCAGAGATTCTGGAGATAAGTCATGAGTATAGTTCGAGGAGAATTTTCGGGTAAAGCATTCAGCTTTTTATATACAGGGTTCAATGTATAAATTGACGTCTAAATTGCAAACACATAAAAATAACACTGACATCTCATTTTAAAATTACAAAAAACATATCATGAAATACAAAAGACTACATTTAATCAATAAAATGGCTGTTGGCTTCAGCCAGGGTTTCCAGACGCCTTCGGAATATCCTGCAAGTCTTCCGGACGGTCTCCTTTTTAAATTGGTGAATTCTGCAATAAACCTTGCCGTCAGTTCATCTTCGACGTTACATGGAGTTTTGTTGGTCTCTCGTTCAGTTGCGCCTAACAAATACTAATCAAGGATGTTGCAGATTGGGGAGCTAGATAGACAGATGTAAGACGTGATGTGTTTGCAGAAATTATCTGACAGCCATGACTGGGTTCTTCTACTTATGTTTTATGTTGCAGACATGGTGTCTCCCAGAAGCCAACTTTTTGATCCAGGACAGCACTACCCCCTCAAGGCACTTGATGTAGTCCTTGGAAGATGAACGGAAAATTAACGTCGCAATCACTAGGGATCCCACCAGACCTCTGCTTACCATTAGACTAATCAAACATTTTCAGAATTGTCTTCACTGTTCTCACTTTGACAGCTAAAACACTCTGAAAGTTTCGTATTAGAGCATCCGGTGCGAACGCGAATCAGAACAGAATGCAATTTCCAAATTTCTGGTGGAGTGAATTGCGACATGATGTTCAAATTCTCACCAAATGACCCTACTATACTGAGCAATCAACAAAATCGAAAACATACAACGCGCATGCGCGAAATTAAAAATATAAAATAGCGACAATCTATCCATCACACCCTATATATATATATATATATATATATATATTCCTTCTATATATTGTTTTTCTCTACAGATTAATTCTGAGCATTTTACACACGTGCACGCACCCATAAGCACACACACATAAATACAAATAAACACACACATATTTAGTCTCGTAAATGCAAACAGACAGTGAATGCCTGTTCAGGATTCTGATGGCTATGTATTGAATATTTGTTTCATTTTATTATGGAAGATGGGTTCTTTTAAAAATACGTGGATAATGCCCTTCTTCACGCTTTTAAAAGAAAATAAGTAAAGACACCCCGCATTATGTTCGGGCTTAAGTAGCCATAATAACTGTACTAATAAGTGGGGAGGTGGAAAAAAAGAGAGTTAGAAACACTAGTCAGGTGGTAGGTGACGCAGGGGACATTTTATATTGTATGTACATCTTTTAATTAATTCTGATGTCTTTATTTCGTATTCTGTTATCGCTGCTGGAAATTCATATTACAAATTTGGCTTCAAGTCAAAGCCTACACCTATCCCCAGTGTTTTTTTTCACGTACTACTTTTTATATATATATATATATATATATATATATATATATATATATGATGATAAAATTTAGATTTATCCAACGTCTGTTTCTGGATGTCTAATCAACACTGAGTGTAGGTATCTCGAAAAAGCCAGAGAAAAATCCCCTCTCCTAGTATTAGCACACATTGTGTAATGCATGCTTTATGTGATAGTTGTCAGAGGTCACATGACACCTTTCACGGAAGAACAGAAAAAAACTAATACCTCTTAAAAGGCAATTACTTGCAAAACAATATAATATACCAAGCCACAGTTTTATCAGGAGAGAACTAAGAATAAATATCTGAACAGAGTATTCAGTTTCAGATATTTATTCAGTGAACAGTGGAAACAAACAAACTATGCCGAGAAAATACCATTACAAATACCAAATGCGTGAACAGCTGAATGATTTTGAAACATATATGGAAAATTAAAGTCAAAAATCTAAATTATACCAACAATATCATGGAAAACAATGAAAACAGCACCAACTGCAAATTCTCTTTGGGAGAGGAAACAGCTATAATCAACTTCCCAGACGAAAACAAATTATTACTAAACCAGAACTTATATGAAAATGTATAGACGAAAACTAAATATTATGACGTTACATAAAAATTGAAAACTAAAAGCAAATACCTTGCAAAATACCTCCATGAAGAGTACAAATATATGCGCCATATACAACCCAGATAATGTAACATAATTTAGCCAAAACCAATACTTATAGACTAAATAAACAATATACCGACACCCTAATAAAAATTAGAATAAATGAATCTATATAAATATATAAAAGATTAAGTAATAAATTAAAAACAGCTCACTACGAATGCACACGCAATCACAAGTAAATTTCATAATAATTATCTGTATCTAATCTATAAGTAAATAATGAGTCAAAACAGGTAACAGTGAACACTATAAATTACCTAGAAAAAGCACATTCGGGCTCACAATTATTTATACTCCATATTCTGTCGAATAATTTATATGACATTTGTCAATTACCCTATAAGCCTTCGAATTATACGCTTGACTTAGCTACCCATAATGCACTAATAAACTGCTTATATAAATAGTCAAGTCAAAACGCAATCCATATGGCCTAAAGATTTCGTTCACGCATGCATGAAGCAGATTGTCAGTGTTGAATCCAGTGTCCACTTATAAAAATATTATAGTGTTATCAGAATGTAACAGGAAGTGATTTTGATTATGCGCTCTGTTTTCATATTCTCTGATCATTTAATAAAAGTTCACTTAAAACAGTGCTCGAGAGTCACTCTAAGTAGAGGTGAATCGAATGACGTGTGTGTAAAGAATTTCAGAGGAATTGATTCTTATGAAGCTCATTTTTTGATGATGCACGTATTGATATTTTCTGAGCATTTTTAACTTCACTTAAAGCAGTGCTCGAGAGCCACACTAAATAGAGGGGCACTGAATGAGGTCTTTGGAAAGAATTTAAGAGAAAGTGGTTCTGATGATATTCAATTCTTTTATAATGCACTTTGTTTTGATATGCTATGAGACTTTGTTACTCATACTTTAATGTAGATTATTTTGTAGCTCTTTCGCCCTTGTCTTGTCTTCTGGGATATTGATTCATTTTATTTTGTAGACCTTACTGACTGTCATGTTTACTTTGGTAGCATCAGATGTTTCCACATGCCTGCGACATCTACGTTGTTATTTTAGCTTTTTTTATATAAATTCTGGTCATTTTCTGTTTTGTATTTTCTGAGGTTGTCAGATTTTGTATTTTGCTCTTCCCGCCCGACTATTGCGTCGATTTGGGCTTTAATCAAGTTTTCCCCTTATTTCTTATGATGTGTCTTTCTCTATTCAGATTTTACAGATTTCTTTAATTCTCGTTTTTCTTTTTTGTTGTCTATACATTGGATTTGATAGATTCGCCTCTGATGCACTTTTTATGAACCTCTTTTAGTCGTTCCTCTTTCCATCGTTGTTTTTATAAAGTTGAAGTAAATACAGTTTACAAAAGTAATACAGTGATGGTTTGATTTAAAAAGAAAAGATATTTGAAAGTATATCCTTTTCTGGCTATTCTCAACAGTCTATTTTTGTTATTAATAAATTGTGCAATACGTTTCTAGCTAGCCCAATTTAATATTCTCGATAGAAACACATTCCGTATTACAGCAAATCAAGCTAATACATTTGATAATGTCCTGCGTTGAGCATTTCACTTCACCTTTCAGTGGAAAGCTTTTTCTCTTCTGACGACTTCTAATTAAATATCTATTCCTCTATTTTTTTCTTCAACATTTTTTTTTTCTAAATTCTTTTATCTCTGTTTCATATCCGTATTATATTATTTCCTTCTCCACGTTTGGATTTTACCGTCTTTCTTTCTTCATAATTTTTTTTTATTTCTTATAAGTTAATCTTAATCACACTCTTTCTTTTATTTCTTTCTATTTCGTTTTCCTCACTTTCATATTTTCATCCATTTTAATACAATCCGTTATCATTTTACTTATTTTTTTTTCTACGATTTTTCCCTTTCCTTCCACTGTTTCTTTCTTTCCTCCATTTTTACGCGATGCTGTTCTCTTACTCCAACCTATACTTCTACTATTTTTCTTTATCGTCTCTCTTTCTCTGTCTTTCATTTCATTCGAAACTTGTCTTTCGTTTGTGACATTTCTCTTTCTTTTTTCCTACTTCTTCATTATATTCACCACTTCTTTTAAGCTCTTCTCTTTGTTTATCATCCTTTCTGTCAGTATTATTTCTCTCTTCCATCTTTGTCTTCCCTATTTTTCTTTTTCCTTCTCCATATTTAACCATCTTACTCTTTGCTCTCCCGAGAATAACAGCTTTGTGGGTTAGATTTCTTCGCATGTAATTAAACTCTCGAGTTAATTACTGTTGTTGGATTATGGGGATTGGTGAATTAATTTGCTTGATCTGCGACACACAGTCATAATAAGCGAATGCCAAATTTTCAATTACTCTAGAGAGTTAATTAGAACAGAAGCGAGCCAGGAAGTAGGAGATGGACATTTGCCGTCATTAACGTTTGATAAATATGGCGTAACACAATGAACGCGTGGCGAATTATTTTTCCCTTCGTTGTCGTTATTCGGAAACGCCTATTTTAAAACCATTTGAACCACTCCCTAAAACGGACTTTAAAATAATCTTGCATAAAACACATGCGTGAAGAGAGACCGGACCTGGATTATGCAATAAAAAAATTATGATGTACTTTGGTATTCTACAGGGTGGGTCATAAGTTTTCATACGGATGATATTCTGTGAATGGGCATTAACCAAAGTGAACGAAGATGCAAACTTTTCAACTAAGACTTTGTTTACTGATGAAACAAATTTTTACGTCAATGGAGAGGTTAATCAGCAAAATCTAAGTAACGCAAACGCTGACTGTCCGACAAAGATGCACGGTGCCGGTAAATTGATGGTGTGAGCCGGAATATGTGATTACAGAATTATTGGAGCAATTTTTTCAGTGAAAATATTAATGCAGAAAAGTAACAACATGTTGCAAGAGGAAATTCTATAATCCCTGCTAAACAAGGAAGGTGACTACCAAGTTCGGTTCCAGCAAGATAGAGCTCCCCCTATTATGGTCATCGTGTCGGTATTTAGATCAGCATTTTCTGGAGGCTTGGATTGGTCGGCATGTTCCTTTGGAGTAGCATCCAAGATCCTCGGATCTCTCCCCACTTGATTTCTATCTTTGGGGAAACTTGAATGTCATAGTGTACCAGGTGAAGATGAGATATGAATCATCTCAAGGAACATATCACCAACGCCATTACAAGCATACTTTCAAATGTGCTAATGCGTATTCATCGAAAGTGGGAAGCACGTATTAATATGTTTTCGAAACAATGGTAATAATATAAAGCACATTATATAAATAAAAACAGTTGTCTAACAAAGAATGTTTATTTTTTTCTATGTATGGAAATGTATGGCCCACCCTGTAGAAAAGTGAAGATTCTTATTAATTATCGAAATATTTACTAAATTATTATGTTTCAAAGACAAATAGGGTGGAAAAAGATGGAGGTGGAAATGAGTTTCCACCCATAAATCAATTGTCGTCCTTGGCAAGACGTTAAACTACATCCGCGTCCTGGATAAGACGTTAAACTACGTCCAGCTGCAAGGCCTTTGATCAGGAGGTTTTGAGGAGAGTGGGACCACCTCTTAATTGCTGGTGTTCCCAGGTCCATCCTGACCTGAGGTGGTAGCACCTGTTAGGATCCCAGCTATGGGCAAATATTTAACTATTGCCAGCAATACCTTTTTGAAAAAAAATATTACTAGCAATACAATTTTGAAGGAAGTGTATTGCCAGAAACGGATTTTTGATAAAACAAAATATTACCATGAGATGAGAATTTTTGTCAGTATTGAATGGCCGATTTGGGTTGATGTGCCGTAAAACAAAATAAACCAAACCAATCTAAACCAAAGAATACATACTCTATTCATACGAATCTCTCCTAAAAAGTTGTCGGCATTAAATAACCCATTGAAGTTGATATGCCGTAAAACAAAATAAACCAAATCAATCTAAACCAAAGAATACATACACTATTCATACGAATCTCTCCTAAAAAAAGTTGTCGGCATTAAATAACCCATTGAGGTTGATATCCCGTAAAACAAAATGAACCAAATCAATCTAAACCAAATAATACATACTCTATTCATACGAATCTCTCCTAAAAAAAGTCGTCGGCATTAAATAACCCATTGAGGTTGATATGCCGTAAAAAAAATTAAACCAAACCAATCTAAACCAAAGAATACATACTCTACTCATACGAATCTCTCCTAAAAAAAGTTGTCGGCATTAAATAACCTATAGAGGTTGATATGCCGTAAAACAAAATAAACCAAAACAAACCATAAATCAATTAAGCAAAGTTTTCTTGAACTGAAAATAAACTTATGAAATGATGTCGAGAAAGATGGATTCAAATATTAAAATATGAACTTGACAGAAAGTGAGCCATTAACACTTTTGCAGCAGACACCTGTCTGCAAAATGTACCACATGTTTAATACACCATATTTGATAGGTTTTAAATTATCATTATTTGCCTTTCTCTACATTGTGCTATAATGTCACTATATAAATATATATGTTTAAAAACATTCTTTTGATAACATGGCATATCGCTGTAGAGAAAATCCAGATATCCCCCCTTCTTCGTTTATTCGAGTTTTGTAATCCAACACTCTTGAACAGGCAACACAATTTCTTCTCAGATTATAAACTACAGCCGTACAATTTGGAATTTATACATTAAATTAAAACAGAATTATCCGTCTTTGAAACAAACAGAAAGAAAAAAAAAACTATAATATTCAAAATCCACTCGTTTGAGAACATCCTTCAAATCTATGAATCAACCATCCGTCCTTGCATGGAATATTGCTACCATATATGATCTGGTGTTCCCGCTGTACGTCTCGAGGTCCTTGACAAAATCCAGAGACGAATATGCAAAATGATAGGTCCTGATCTGGCATCTAGGCTACAATCGCTATCCCACAGACGTACCGTGGCCTCCCTCTGTCTCTTCTACAAATATTTTCACGGCAACTGTTCCGACGAGCTATTTTCGCTGGTTCCCGAACTACGTGACTTGAAACGAGCTACCAAGCTGGCATCTCGGTTCCACACTTTCACTGTCCAACGGTTAAATGTAACCTTCACTTCATCTCAAACAGCTTCTTCTCCCGTACTTGCCGACCGTGGAACTCCCTTCTCTTTACTTGCTTCCGCGATAACTATAATCTTCAAGTATTCAAGTGTAATGTCAATCGATATCTGACACCGTGAGCTTGTTCCCAGTCCTTTTCTGTATACTTTCTTAAGACACGCCTCTTTACTCTTGTTCTCAATCTCCTGTAAAGTTAATGGCACTCCCGCCTTGATGGGGATAAATTGTATTAAAAATAAAAGATTTTTTCTATCTAGGATAATGTTTAAACTCCTGGAGAGACGCCATTCATCTTAACATTTCAAAACGATGAAAGTGTCAACGAAATTGAATAAAATCCCGAAGTCAAAATGAAGAAAAATGAATCAGAAAATGAAACAGAAATTGTTTTCTTATTCCGACCAGTTAGACATAACCCTAATCCTCGACAATAACAGACATGGTACGTACACTTGATCATTAAGTCTAAAGCTAAAATGTTAGAAGGAATTAATAAACGCTATCCAAGAATATGAACACAATCAGTGAATGGTGAGTTCATCTGAACCCTTTTAACCCTGCATTCCTGAACTATTTTAAACCTTCAGCTTGAACTCTTGACTCAAAATTCGCAAATAAGTGGTATGTAATTTTCCCGGGAGATATAAAAATATTTACAATTGTTTACCTACCGTCAAACTGGTAGCTGAGCATTAAGGTATTTTTCGCTACCACTGTTCAACCGGTCATTACTACCATCGGTAAAGCGGTGGTCAGAGCTTAAAGGTTTAATATCAGTGTAATCAGCGTGTAATAACACTGAAAATTAAATCAGTGACAAAATTTAATTAAAAAACAAAAGTAATTTTTTTATTGTCGTAAGTAGATATGAAATGAATAAAAGATGCAAGAATTATAAACAAGTTTTTTTTATGTGAAAAGAGATAGCCCTTACTAAATTATAACAGTGACAGATTTGTTGGTATAACATAATTGAAGAAATTTTATTTCTAAAAAAGTGTATAGTTTTCTTTATTTTCTTTGAAATTTCGTTGGAATGTGTGGATGTCAATTTTCCAGCATAAAATATATAATAAATATCGTTCTGCAGAATATTAAAGAAGTTTTCTAAACGAAAATGTTCCTATTTGACTTTATTGTATTCTTGTAATTTTCTTCCGAAATTTCCCCCTTCGCTGACAAGGATTATTCGTAATTTGGAAAAGTCCATCATTAACCATTTGAGCCATTCTTCCCTGAACAATTTTAAACCTTCTGCATGAGTACCTGAGTCAAAAGTAGCAAATAATTAGTATGTAATATTACATGGTAGATATAAAAATAGTTACAAGTGTTTATCCACCGTTCAACTGGTAGCTGGGCATTTAGTCATTTTTCTCTACCACTGTTCAACTGATGGCTGGGTATTACGTCATTTTTTATACCACCCGTAAAGCGGTAGTCAGGGCTCAAACGATTAATAACCATTTCTGGGGAAGTAAACAAAATATTCATCATAGGATTCAAATTATGTGAACGATAAAGAGTTACTTCATTAAGAACAAGTATCGACAATACAATAATTAGAATGCAAGAGGTTATTTGGAAGGAAATGTTCGGAACTGTTCGTACGACCCAATAGAACGATCAAATTTCTACTGCGATAAAGTTAAATTAGAAAATCAAGTATTTAGTCGCTTAAAATGTTTTACTTTCTAGAATTCATGGCTGTAAACTTCAGGAAACTAACTCATTGTTTCTCGGAATATACCTTCTCGGAATATTTTTTCTTCCTAGAATCTATCTGATATATTTATAAGCCTACCATTCGTCCTTGCTTTGAATTTTGCCACTTCTTCTTGTCTAGTGCTTCTGATATCTATGTAGAGATTCGTGATCATTGCAAAGAAGAATCTGCAATTTTATTGGTCTTTATTTGCCATCACGACAGCAGTTAGTTTCTCTCGGTAAGATCTCATGAATTTTCATCTACAGTAACTTGACAGTATGAAATTAAGCACAGTGCGAGTTTGGCGACAAGCATTCATCTGTGAACAGTTGAAATAAACGAAAGTTAAATGTTAACAGCTTCTTTTATCACGCATCTCACTTGTGGAACTCTCTTGTTTCATAGTCAGGTTAGAT